CCTCAAATTGTTCAATGAAATTGAAAGGGAAGCAATCCTTCCTAAGACGTTCCTGGAAGCAAATATTACTCTAGTACCAAAACCTGAGAAAGACCCAACTAAAAAAGAGAACTATAGACCGATCTCCCTAATGAACACAGATGCAAAAATCCTCAATAAAATATTGGCAAATAGGATCCAGCAAATCATCAAGAAGATTATACACCATGACCAAGTGGGATTCATCCCAGGAATGCAAGGATGGTTCAACATACGCAAATCAATAAATGTAATCCACCATATCAATAAAGCCAAAAATAAGAATCACATGATCATTTCTATAGATGCAGAAAAAGCCTTCCATAAGGTCCAACATTTATTCATGATAAAAACTCTACAGAAAATTGGAATAGATGGTCTTTACCTCAATATAATAAAGGCCATTTATGACAAACCAACAGCCAGCATCATTCTAAATGGCCAAAAATTGAAAGCCTTTACTTTAAAATCAGGCACAAGACAAGGATGTCCTTTATCACCACTCCTATTTAATATAGTACTGGAAGTACTAGCCAGAGCAATTAGGCAAGAAAGAGAAATAAAAGGGGTAAAGATAGGAAAAGAAGAAGTTAAGTTATCATTGTTTGCAGATGACATGATACTCTACATAGAAGACCCCCTAAACTCCATTGAAATACTCTTAGATACAATAAATAAATTCAGTAATGTGGCTGGATACAAAATCAATACTCAGAAATCAATAGCATTCCTATACACGAACAACAAAATTACAGAGAGGGAAATAAGAGAAACTGGATTATTCACATTAGCAAGCAAAAAAATGAAATATTTAGGAATTACTCTTACGAAAGAAGTGAAAGACTTATACAGTGAAAACTATAATACACTGAAAAAGGAAATTGAAGATGATCTCAGAAAATGGAAAGACATCCCTTGCTCATGGATAGGAAGAACAAACATTGTGAAGATGGCCATTCTCCCAAAACTCTTATACAGATTCAATGCAATCCCAATAGAAATACCATCAACATACCTTATAGATCTAGAGAAATCACTCCTAAATTTCATCTGGAACCAGAAGAGACCTAGAATCGCAAAGGCAATTCTAAGCAGCAAAGGCAAAGCAGGAGGCATCACAATCCCTGACTTGAAATTATACTACAAAGCAACAGTAGTAAAATCAACATGGTATTGGAATCAAAACAGAGGCGAAGATCAATGGAATAGATTAGAAGATACAACCACAACTACAAACACACTCAACCACCTTATCTTTGATAAAGGAGCCAAGCAGGTTCACTGGAAGAACGACAGTCTCTTTAATAAATGGTGCTGGAAAAACTGGCTCTCCATTTGCCGAAAACTAAAGCTAGACCCATGTCTATCACCATGTACTAAATTAAAATCTAAATGGGTCAAAGATCTGAATATTAAAACAGAAACACTAAATCTATTGGAAGACAAAGTGGGTAGAAACCTTGGAGACATAGGAGTAGGTAGAGAATTCATGAACAGGACTCAAACCGCACGGGAAACACTTCCCAGAATCAATAACTGGGACCACATCTTATTAAAAAGTTTCTGCATGTCAAAAGAAATCTCCAGCATAGTGAAAAGAAAACCCACAAACTGGGAAAAGATTTTAGTGAACTCTCTCTCAGACAAGGGACTCTTGTCTAAAACATATAAAGAATTAAAAAAACTCAGACCTCCAAAATTCAAAGATCCAATCCAAAAATGGGCATCTGAGATGAATACGCAATTCTCAGATGAAGAAATGCAAATGGCAAATAAATATATGAAAACATGCTCATCATCATTGGTCATCAGAGAAATGCAAATTAAAACCACACTGAGATTCCATCTCACTCCTGAAAGAATGGCCAGGATCAAGAAAACCAACAACAACAAATGCTGGAGAGGATGTGGGGAAAAAGGAACTCTCCTGCACTGTTGGTGGGAGTGTAGACTGGTACAGCCTTTGTGGAGGTCTGTCTGGAGGTTTCTCAAAAAGTTGGGATTGGAAATCCCATTTATTCCAGCTATTCCACTTCTAGGCATATTCCCAGAAGAACTGAAAGCATCATACCACAGTGATTTATGTGCACCTATGTTTATAGCAGCACAATTTGTAATCGCCAGATCTTGGAAACAACCCAAGTGTCCATCAACTGAGGAATGGATAAAAAAGTTGTGGTATTTCTATACAATGGAATATTATTCAGCTATAAAGAAGGATCACATTGAGATATTTATCAATAAATGGGCGCAGCTTGAGACCATACTCATAAGTGAAATAAATCAATCTCGCATGTATGAATACCGAATAGTTTCCCTAATGTAAGTAATGATTCAAATATATGAAAATATGTGGCAATCATGATTCCCCATTATGTGGCCTTGAAGCCTTATAAAATTTTCACTTATTAATTAGGCTTTATTCCGGGCTTCTTGATATGGAAATATTTGAAGCTATAGTATATGAAGTTTTATCCAAATATCTCAAGGAAAAAGACAGACACTATGGTAACTATTATTCTTTAAAAAAAATTATTTAGTTATTTCTTATGTTTATTTTAATTAAGGGAAAAATTTAAAAAATTAGGATATATAATAGTAACTCTTTTCGATTTCCTATTAACTTGTTTTGAAGTCCTGTAATGCTCCCACGATCTTGTTTTGACTGATTAGACTCTGTTCCATTCTGTGGGATAGTATCAGGTCCGAGGGTATAGGCAACTACTTTGAAGGCAGTAAGATTCACTAAGATGCCCATTCTGGTTTGACTATTGTCTCCTTTGGAAGTCCTGTAATGTTTACAATGTCTAAGTTGTATTGGTCTTGTTCTCTACTGTTTTGTCCAACTTTATAATATCTAATGAGATAGACAAATCTTTTTAAGGAAACAAGAGACAACGTTGATAACTATTGTTAATAACCGTATACTCTGTTCTACATCATGTGCTAAGTCTATCCTTGGTTTTCACTGACAGCTTTGTTCTGCCATATTTGACTTTATTCTCCCCCCCCCCAAAAGTAATAAGAACTAAGGAGTAATAAAATCTAAAATGTGTAAATTTTGTTGTAAAAAGAGAGGAAGGGGAAAAAAGAGCTCTAACGGATATAACAGCAAGTGTGTATAGGGATGTTGAATAGCTGACTATATTAATGTTTTTGGATCATTGAACACAGCTGTTTGTAGTCTCTCTGTTTGAATGTCTACTTTGTATTCTTTGATACTGTGATTTGAGCAACTATTTCTAAGATGATAATATGTAATCTATTAACAGGTGATTTCTTACTGTTATGCTTTTTTTTGTAGTTCTGTATTATATGTAACCTTACACTGAAAAAAAAATTGCCTTTCTTTTATTGATTTCAAAATGCTTTGTCTTTGAGTAATGTCAGTTTATGATGTGTCTACATGTTGTTCTCTTTCAATTTATTCTATCTAGAATTTACTAATTTTCTTGGATGAGATTTCTTGATTAATATTTCATGAATTTGGGAAGCTTTCTGCCATCATTTTTTGACATATTCTTCCTTTTCTATCTTCTTTCCTTTTAGGGCTTCCATTGTGCATATGTTGTTATGTTTAATGGTTTCCCACAGAGTACTGAGGTTCTATTTATTTTTCTTCATGATTTTTACAATAAAGTATACCTGTGGATAGTCTCTATAATCTTCAAGAATGCTGACTCTTCCTTTTGCCAGCTTGAACAATTGAATTTTTCATTTTGGTTATACTTTTCAACTCCAGAATTTGTACTTGATATTTGAGATTTTCTATTTGTTAGGATGGTTATGATATTTGTTTTAATTAATATATTGTGTTTCTTACTTTTGGTGTGGCATTGGGGACTGAATTCAGGACCTTTATGCTGAGCCCCCCAATCACTTGTCTTTCTTTCTTTCTTTCCTTCCTTCTCTCTCTCTTTTCTTTCCTTCCTTCCTTATTTCCTTAAATATTTGAGACAGAGTCTCATTACGTCACTATGTTGCCTAAACTGATCTCACACTTGCTAGCCTGGGATTACAGGCATGTACCACTATACCCAGATGAGACTTTATTTCTTAGAGCAAATTTGGGTTTATAAAATACTTGAACAGAAAATACAGAGTTCTTATATATATTCTTCTCTATCCTTTACCCTGTCTACAGATTCTCCTATTATTAACATTTTGCATTTAACAATTGATGAACCGATCTCAGTACATTACTGTTGACTAAAGCCCATAATTTATATTAGTATTCATTCTGTTACTATATACTTTTATGGGGCTTCCAAATTTATACTGTCATGTATCTCCCATTAAAATATAATATAGAATATACTGCCCTAAATATCTTCTGCACTCTACATGGTAGACCTTCCCCTGCAAACCACTTGAAGCAACTGCTCTATCTCTATAATTGTATTTTTTCTGAACTATTATTTTAGTCATGTTTAGCCTTTGCAGACTTCTGTCACTTAGCAATATGGATTTAAGGTTCCTCCATATCTTTCCTCTGTGTGGTTTGATAGTTCATTTTTTTCTTGTCTCGTGTATGTGTCTGATTATGTGTGTGTGTGTGTGTGTGTGTGTGTGTGTGTGTGTGTGTGAGAGAGAGAGAGAGAGAGAGATAGAGAGAGAGAGAGAGGATTTGAACCCAGAGCATATACTATACTAGAGCATATACTAGAGCAAGCGCTCTTCCAGAGCAGCATCCTCAGCCTTTTTTATTTTGAGATACGTTCTCACTGAATTGCCTAGGATGGCCTGCTACAGCCACCCTTGTAGGTAGGATTATGAGTGTGCATCACTTCATCCAGCTTCTCATTTTTTTTTAATTTTTGGCTTTTTGATGCAGGGTCTCACTATACAGTTTAGACTGGCCTTGAACTCACTTTGAAGCCCAGGCTGGTCTCGAACTCACAGTGATACTCCTGCCTCAGCATTTTCTTACAGAAACTTTCAAGCATGCTTTTGGAACAGTTATATTCTGACTTTCTTTTCAGGTTGCTATTACTTCTGACTCTACAGGTCCTTCTGATAATTTTGAGGTACAGTCTTTGACATGTCAAAAAGAATGCAGTAAAACTGTGAACACAGAAGCCTTAATGACAGTGTTTCACCCTCAGAATCTGGAGACTCTTAATTCTAAAATGGTAAGAAAGTAAAATATTTATATCTATAGACTGGAACAGTTGATTAAAAAAGAATCTTAGTGCAGATTAGCAGATACCAGAACTGAAAACTCTTCCTTTGAGATTTAAAAAACTTTCAAAACTTACTGTACTTTCATGTGCCTTGTTTGTTTCCATAACACACAAGAATAGTTATCAAGAATGAGCATAAAAGAGGAATGTTTGATTTGGGGTTTAATTTGTATAGGTTTCTAATAGCTTATACAGAAATGGAGCTTATTTGGGAAGAATTAAGATGAGAAGCTTTGCTTACTAAGCATAATACTTTTACCATTTTTCTGAGTTTGAGTTAAGATAGTAAATTAATGCTGTTAGACAGCAATAATTGCAAAATTATACAATAATTTTAAAAGATTTTTGGGGAAAACAGAGGTAAATATTGATTTTTTGTTAAAACTGAGTTTTATTTTCTATGTTCTTGGTTTCCATAGATGTTATTTCATGGTGAAAAGGGTGGGCAAACTATTTTAAAGATGTTAATTTCTCACTGTGTTTAGTTGATTTCATTTTTCTGTTACAGTTGAAAGAAAAAATGAAGGAACAGTCATGGAACATACTATTTTCAGAATGTGGGCGTGGTGTTAGCATGTTTCGGACCAAAAAGACTCGAGATCTGGTTGTAAGAGGGATTCCAGAGACCTTAAGAGGAGAGCTCTGGATGCTTTTTTCAGGTACAAATAATCTTCATTTGGTGACCTATCTCTTTAACAATAGAATTTAGGACTAAGATGTGCTGTTCTTCAGATTTAGCACCCACCACTTAGATTTACAAGCTATCACTCGTGCTTACATCTTTTTGCATATATACAATTTTTTAACATCTTGTTTAGAGAACCTCAATGTCTTTTTTTGTATATTACACCTTGTTTATACAGTACTGTAATTTTTTCTGATTGTACTGTATAGTACAGTTCTATACTTTTATGTTCTGTTTTACATTACAGTGCTACACATAAGAGATGCATAAATAAAAGCAAAGTCAATAAGTGGAAATTTCCTTTGACCATTTATTTGTTCTCAATATTCTAATGTACATATTATATACAATTCTACATTTAGTGACCAATTCATTTAATAACCTAAGAATATAACTTGGTTAGTAAACTAGAAATGTCAACATTACATTTGTTCACTTTATGCACTTAACAGACATTAATTATATCTCTTATAAGACTTTTATACTAAGCTAAAGTTAAAGAATTACAAAACTGACTGAGAAAAAGTCTTATCGTGAGTTAGACTAGTCATCAAGCAAAGTATGTAGTTATGTATACTTACTTATATATTCATACATCTGGTGCCTGGGTAGATTACTTTATTAGGCAAGTAATGTCTAATTGGGAAAAATCTCTTTAGTGTCAAAAAAAAGTTAAAGGGAAACATTCAAAATGTTGTTCTGTTACATAATATTATTAGCTTAAGATTATATAGATGCTACTGTAGAGTTGTTTATTTTCCTTAATTTCTTTGCTTTTTGTGCTTAGATATCACTTGAACATAAAGCTGAATTTCAAAGTAGTGAAATCCAATTGTTCAGATCTATGAAAATATACTAGAATGTACAAATCATTGTTTGTTTTTTATTGGTACCAGGGATCAAACTCACGACTGCCTGCTTGCAAGGCAGGTGCTTATGTCACTGAGCTAAATCCCCAGCCCTAAATCATAGTTTTCTTATGTTTCTCTTTTTCTATGTGACTGCAATCATCTCCATAGGTGCTGTGAATGACATGGCTACTAACCCTGGCTATTATGCCAAAGTGGTTGAAAAGTCCATAGGGACCTGCAACTTGGCTACTGAAGAAATCGAACGTGATTTGCGTCGCTCCCTCCCTGAGCACCCAGCATTTCAGAGTGATACTGGCATATCTGCTCTGAGGCGGGTACTTACTGCTTATGCATATAGGAATCCCAAAATTGGATACTGCCAGGTATGATTTCACTGTGAGCTTTTGAAATTATAAGGACAGGAGTTGAAATTATAAAAATATGAGTTTGGGTTAGATTGATAATACTTATTATTAATGTAAGCAGGATGGTAACCCTAACCCTAACCTTTCCAGGACCCTGGGTTTGGAGAAATCCAGGTGCCTGGCCCATTCCCCTACACCATGGTAGGTCGGCCAATGTGAGAAGCACCTGTGACCCCACAGCTGGCTTGTTGGGAGGAACCCAGGAAAATGGGAAGACAAAGAAGCAAAACACAATCTCAGATCTCCAGCCCACACAAAACAACTCTGGAAGATATAGACGTGGAAGAAAATGAAGTCACCCACCTAAAATCTCTGAAAGGATAGCAACTGAAGTAAACAAATAACTTCATGAGGCTGTAAAAGTAATCAGATCAGAACTAATATCTACAATAAAAGCAGAAGCCACAAAAATAATAAAAAAATTTCTAAGCATATCTAAAGAAAACAAAGATTAAAAAAAGAAGAAGAAGAAGGGAAAATACCGGAAACCTTGAAGAACAATATTGGAAGGAATTACAATGCATGAAATAGATTCAAAGAGATATCCAGCAAATTAAAAGATCCAGCAAAATCCACCACTTGAAAGAGATTTAATTTCGACTCTCGGACCCTGAAGACAGGATTACAGCTAGTGACTGTGAAAGGAAAGAGCTCTTAAAAATAACAAAGAACGAGGAGCTAACAATTCGACAGCTGCAAGACAATGCAAAGAAAAATAATTTAAGCATGATGGGCATCAACAAAAAAGCAGAGGCCAACACAAATGACATAAAAAGACTACTTACAGAAATAATAGCAGAAAACTTCCCAAACATGGGGAAAAAACCTGGTATACACGTAAGTGAGGCATGTAGAACTCCACATAGCCATAACCAAAACAACTCTACACCCAGACATAGTAATCAGGATCCCAGAAATTCAGCACAAGAACAGAATATTAAACACTATAAGAGAAAAGAAACAGATCACCTATAAAGGAAAGCCCATCCGAATCACAGCAGACTTCTCAACACAAACCATGAAGTAGGGAAGAATTTGGAATAAAGTGTTTCAAGTCCTGAAAGAAAACAGCTTGCAACGCAGACTGATGTACTCTGCAAAACTATCTTTCAGGGCTGGGGATTTAGCTCAGTGGCGTAAGTACCTGACTTGAAAGCGCGAAATCGTGAGCGTAATCCCTGGTACCAAAAAAAAAAAAAAAAAAAAAAAATCTTTTTTTCAAAATTGATAGAAAAATAAGACACTTCCATTACAGAGAACAACTGAAGGAATTCATGACCACTAAGCCAATCCTACAAAGAGCACCAAAGGATATTCTACAAATGAGAAAATGACTATGATTCCCGGAACAGTCGCGGAGAGGGATCACCAAACCGGGCAGGCAACTGAATGAAGGAGAAAAGTGGGGGAGGGAAGCAACAGCAGGAGAATAGCTTGTCACAGACAAACCAATTCATGCCAGTTGTAACCATTAATGTAGATGGCTTCAATTCACCAATAAAACGAAACAGGGTCTGGGGGTTTAGCTCTGTGGCATAAGCACCTACCTGGCAAGCATGAGATCCTGAGTTCAATCCTCGTTACCGAAAAAGAAAGAGAGAGAGGTGTTCAAGAAATATGCTATATACAAGAAATATATTTAACTCAAAAAGAAATTCAAAGAGCAAAGTGAAAGGAGAGAAAACAATTGTCCCATGTGACAGGAAACCAGAAAAAAGCAGAGGTAACTTTCCCATCAACCACAGAATGGATAAGAAAGATGCGTTATTTTCATAAAATAGAAAGCTACTCAGCTATAAAAGATAATCTTGAGGCTCTTGTAGTTGAATGGATGCAACTTGAGATCATTCTCATGGGTGAAATGGTTTGGACTCATGGGTGAACACTGAGGTATCTCTCTAGTATAAAAACCTGACGGAGTTAGTGTGATCTAAAATGTACAGTAGATATTGTGAAATTGATAGGGGAGGAAATTTCTAAAAAGGGAAGGTGGTGACCATTGTTAATTTCCTATTATCTTGTTAGGAGTTACTGTGTTGTTTTCATAGTTCTGTTAGGTTTGGTTTTATTCTGTCCTGTGTCATTTGATTTTACTGTGTCTGTGGTATGGGCAGCTGTTTTGAAGATAGGGGATATATTATGGTAGCCATTGTTGATCTCCTATTCACTGGTTTTTGAGGTCCTGTAATGCTTTCATTCTCTTGTTTTGAAAGGTTTCATTCTGTTTTGTTTTTGTTTTAAAGAGAATAAAACCAAAATAAAACAGAATAAAGCCAATCAAAATAAAACAGTATAAATGATACAGTATTTCAAAACAAAATAACAGGAAATCAACAATTGCTACCATAACACATCTTGTCGTCTTCTAAATAGCTGCATGTACGATCAGACATATCGAACAAAGCACAACAGAATAGAACCAATAAATACAAAGCAATGAATGCAGTATAGGACTTCAAAACAAGATAGTAGTAAATCCAAAATTGCTACCATAATATACCTTGCTATCTTTGAAATAGTTGCCCATGCCATCAGATATAGTAAAATCAAACCAGACAAAATGGAATAAACCCAAACCAAACAAAGCAATGAAAATGGTACAGGACTTTAAAACAAGACAATAAGGAATTAACAATGGCTACCACCTTCAGAAATAGATCCCTGACAGATGGTATACTGCATATTGTTATCCTCTAAATAGATGATCAGAATACCAGTTTATGCTGTTGTATTTTGTTTGATTTCCTTATGTCTGATGGTATGGACAGCTATTTTGAAGAAAATGACACATTATGGTAGCCATTATTGATTTCTATTACCTTGTTTTCAAGTCCTGTATTACTTTCTTTGTTCTGTTCTTATTAGCTTTATTCTGTTTGGTTTGGTTTGGTTTTATTCCCTTTAAAATAAAAAAAGAAAAAGAAAATAAAATCTTACTAGCATTTTTAATAAAAAGATTATTTTCATTTGTAAAATTTATAGATGGTTATGTGGAAGTCATAGTAACATTTACAGGTTATGAAAATTTGTGATTTTTTTGGACATACAGATATAAAATAACATTCTAAGAGAAAGAATCAGTACAATACAACAGATAGAAGTATATGCAGAGTGTGTATAGACCCCTGATCTGTACAGTAAAGTGCAATGTGAATGAAGCAAAATAGTTGGAGAAAATAATAAGGTAGATTGAGGTAGGTTGGGAGTTTAGATTTTATTTTGTTGGTAGTGGAGAAGTCACTAGTGAAAAAAAAATCCTCTAGGAGTACACTTTGTTGATCAAGTAGGCTAGAATGCTAACACAATACAAAGAGTAACTGAAACACAAAAGAAGAAAGTGATTATTTTGGTGAGTAGTGAGTCCTCTTTGTGATTATTAAGAGATTTAGGCTATAGGCTAACAGTAGATTTTGTCATCTTCGAAACAAGGCTTCCAAGTACTTTTCACTGTCATTAGTGGACACAGGAAGGGGCAGAGAGAATGAATTTTAAAAAATTGTTGGAGATTTTATAGGCTAGACCTGAAGGGGCACATATCATTTCACTCATTCTATTGGCAGGTCTTCATCATTGGCACACCTCTTCACAAAACGTAGTATGAACCAAGCAGAGTTGTACCAAGCCTCTGTGTAAGGAAAGGTGATTGGACTATGGTATATATGGTAATACTTTGCCATATATTCATTTCTAATAGGTTGGGCACCATTAATGACCATATATTAATACTACTTATCAATTGAGAGTTACCAATAGAGTTTTTTTTCCCATGGTTCTGGCAATCAAACAAATTTTCATGCATTCTACCACTAAGCCAAATCCCCATCCCTAGAGAATTTTCTGGAAGACAATTTAAGTTGATGAACCACCTAAATGACTTTAGGCACGCTTAAAAGTATAAAAGACACATATTTCCAAAAAATTTTACACTCAGCTGGGTTTTTAGTTTAGTGGTAGACCATGTGCCTAGCATATATGAGACCATTAGTGAATCCCCAGAACCAGGAAAAAGCTTACATCACAGAGCCTGATACAGCAATTTAGAGATAATTTCAAAGTAGCCATCACATGATTTTGACTTCTAAAGCATGAGAAAAAATTTATAGTTATGGAGAGTAGGAAGTAATTTATGTTGGGTTAAGATAACAAATTAGCAATATGATTTTGGTAAGAATAAGCCTGCTATGGAGATCAGACTGGCTAAGCTCACAATGAAATCAAGAATTAAATAAGTTGGTGTGTGACAATATCATGGAGAATTTAAATTTGAAAAAAGATTTTGAGTTAATATAACAAATAGATTTTATTGCTTTTGAGTAAAATCATATGTGAGCCATAACAGATATCTGGCTTATCTATTTATCTGTGTTACCATACACCACACACACAAACTTTACCTTTTAGTGTTTTTTTGTATATTAACAAAACTGTGCAACCATCACTACAATTTGATTGCAGAACATTTTCATTATTCCAAAGATATTCATTAACATACTCATTAACAGTTATTCTCCATTTCTTCCTATCCCCAAGCCATCCCATCATGAATCTACTTTTTTTTTCTCTTTGAATATGCCTACCAGGGGTATTTTATCTAAATAAAATGATAGACTATGTGGCCTTTGGGTCTACCTTCTTTTACTTACCATACTATTTTCAAGATTCATCCATATTGTTGCATATATCAGTACTTCATTCTTTGTAATGACTGAATAGTATTCCATTGTGTGAATATACTGCTTTGTGTTTATCTGTTGTAGAGTCGACAGACATTTGAGTTGTTTCCATATTTTGACTGTAAAGGATAATGCAGCTATTAATATTAATGTACAAGTGTTTGTGTGGATACTTTCAATTCTTTTGAATATATATCTTGAAGTAAAATTTCTGGGTTATATAGTAACTATATATATGTAAATATATATGTATGTATATATGGATATATATATAGTCTTTTTGAAAGCATATATATTTGTTTCACTATAGATTTCAGGTTGGTCTTGAACTCAATTTGTAGCCCAGGCTGGCCTCAAACTCACAATGATCCTCCTGCCTCAAGCCTCCCGAGGTCTGGGATTACAGATATGTGACACCACACCTGGCTAGTAACTATATCTAAATTGTTGGGGCACTAACAAACATTTTTCAAAGAGAACTCACAATTTACATTTCCCACAAGCAATGCATAAGGGTTCCAATTTCTCCACATCCTCAACATTTTTTATTGTATTTCTTTTTGATTGCAGCTATCTCAGTGAGTGTGAAAATGGTGCCTTGGCGTTCTTGTTGGCAATCAATTGGCTATAGATGTTAGGGTTTATTTCTGGAATCTCAACTTTCTTCCATTCATTAATATTTCTGCCCACTACCACACTGGCTTGATTATTGCATCTGTGTAATGTAATAAGTTCTGAAATCAGAAAATGGGAGTCCTTTACGTTTGTACCTTTCCAAGATTGATTTGGCTTTTTATAGGTTCTTGTATTTACATATGCATTTTTTGAATTGGTGCATATTAGTTATATAGAACAATGAGCCTGGCTTTGGTACATTTGTACATGTGTATAACATACTTTGATCAGTACCCCCTCTTATCCTTCCTTCCTTGTCCTTCAATCCTTTTTTCTGTAATAGTCTCTACTAATTTTATGTCATCCTTTTTTTAATTAAAAATTTTTCTAGATTCCAAAGATGAGAGAAATATGCAATATTTGACTTTTTGTGTCTGATTTATTTTACTTACCATGATGCTCAAAATATGAATTTTAGGATCACTTTGTTAGTTTCCTCCAAGAGGAAAGATAGGTGGGATTTTGATAGTTGTTGCACTGTAAATTAATTTAGAGTATTGCATGTTAACAGTACTAAGTCTTTAAACTATAAACATAAAATGGTCTTTCCGTTTATTGGGCTCTTTTGTTCTTTTAAGATTGTATGGTAGTTTTCAGTGAATAAGTCTCACACTTCCTTGATAATCTTATGTCTAACTATTTCAGCCCTTTTTATATTACAGCAAACTGGGTTTTTTTGCTTTCATATTTGGATTGTTGTCTATATAGAAATACAAATAATCTTTGTATATGTTGGTCCTGTGTACTATAACCTTACTGAGCTTATTTGTTAATTCTAGTAGATGTTTTGTGGGTTCTTTAGGAATTGCTACATACAAAATGATGAAATTGCTGTAATCCTAGCATTGAGGAGGCTTAGGCAGGAAGATTGTTACAAGTTCAAGCCCAGTGTGAGCTACATGTTGAGATGCTGTCTCAAAAAATATATTATCTTAACTCAAGGAATTAGAATTATGATATTTCTTCCATCCCAGTCTGGATTGCTTTCCCCATTTTTTCTTGCCTAATCAATCTGGCTGTAACCTTCAGTATCATGTTACATAGAAGTGTAGAGGCTTTGTTTGTTTTAAGATGGGGGTCCCAATGTGTTCCCTGCGCTAGTTTTAGATGTCTCTTTGTGAGAAGGGTTTTCATTACTAGTTCAAATTTTTACTTATTATAGTGCTATTCAAGTTTTTCTTTCTTTTTGAGCTGGTCTCAGTAATTTGTGTTCTTAGAAACTTGTTCATTTTCCTAATTCATTAGTGTACAATTGTTGGTCATATTCCCTTATAGTTCTTTCCATTGCTGTAAAGGTTGGTACTGCATTCTCTCTTTCTTGGTTGTAATCATTTGAGTCTCACATCCTTCTTGTGTTTTTTAAAAATCTTTTTGGTTAGGCTATCTAAAGATCTCTCAGTGCTTTTTATCTTATTTTGTCTTTTCAATCGACTTTTTTTCTTTTTGTTTTAATATTCTCCATTGCTTCCTGCTTGAACAGAGCCTAAAGATTAGTCAGAACTAAAAATTGAGGCCTTTTCTATTCTTTCTCAAGTACCCCTACAGCTATAAATAATGTACTCATTTATATGCATGTAATGGATTTCTAGATTCTCAGGAATATGTCAGAATCTTTCAAAGCCCCCAGATTTCCTTTTAACCCTTTGCTAGCTTATTATTTGCCAGCTGTTATCCCCTGCATCAGCAGCGTTAATAGCTATTTGATTGTTTTAAGAAACATCCTTGGTGAAAAGACTTTGTGCTAGATAAGCTCCGTGTCAGCTCAAATACAAACTTGTGATTGGAGTCTTCCAGGGAGCTAACATACAGATTATGACAGTTCTCTAGGAATGGGGCTTTGAAGGAACTCCAACCCCATCTTTTTCCCTCCTGTGGTAGCTAGGTGCTAAGTGCTGGTTTTCACCATGATTGTTGAGTGTTGGTATTTTGCTTTGGTTTGAGTGTTGTTGTTTGTTGTTTGGTTGGTTTGGTTTGGTGCTAGGGATGGAACCCAGGTCTTCACACATGGTAGTATTCTACCACTGAGCTACACTTCCAGTCCTAGTTGTTTTAAGTTACCAGAAAGCCAGAGAGAGGAAATAAGAATAGAACAGTTTGACATGCCACAGAGATTAGCCATTTTCTTGAGACAGGATGTTGCTATGTATTTCAGGCTGAACTTAGACAAACTGTGTAGCCCAGGGTGGCTTTGAACATAAAGCAGTCCTCCTGCCTCAGCCTACCAAGTGCTGGGTGATAGGTGTGTGCCATCATACCTGGTTTGCCATTTTTTTAAATACATGCTACTGCATTGCTTTAAGTTCTTGGTTAATTTCTAGAACTTTAAAAAATTATTCTGATGAGTTTTGCCTGTGTTCTCATTGCTTTTATAAAGGACAACATTTTTAGAGGTTTTGACAATGCCATTTTCACTCTACCCTCTCCATTATGTCTTCTCCCACAGGAAATTATTATTATAAAAACATATTTGGATCATTGAACAGAACTGTTTGCAGTATCATTGTTGGAATGTCCACTTTACAAGCTTTAATTTTGTGACTTGAACAATTATTTCTAAGATGACAATATGTAATCCATTAACTAGTGATTTCCTACTGTTCATTTTTTTTCTGTAAATCTATAACTTGTACCCTTTCTCTGCTTTTTTTTTCTTTTCTCCTTAAATAAAATTTTAAAAAAATAAATAAAAACATTTGAGATCAAACTGTAATGAACAGTGCCAAGGAATTGACATATTTAATATACAAATCTGTTAGAAAGGTATTTAAAATTGAAAATGAGCAATAGAAATGAAAAAATTAGTCACACAAAAGAAAATGCAGGTCATAGAACTGAAAAAGAAAGTTCAACCTCAAAAATATTGAAATTAGAATGAGATGCCTTCTTCAGTATCAAATTAACAAAGATGATTAAAATTGTTACAGTTATCCATATTGACAAAAGTGCAGTAGACAGTCAAACATTATTCACTAGAAATATAAATTGGTACACTGTTTCTGGAATGTAATTTGCATTACGTGTTTAATAAGTAATACCCTCTGACCAAATAATTTAATTTCTAGGTATTCTAGTAAGTCTGGAATGAACATAGTGTGTATCCTTGATTTAGATTATTTTGCAGCATTAAAATATTGTTTTAGTAGAATGTTCAGTGTCATAGAAAATGTATAATATGCTTAAAATTAGCATAATTAAGAAGAAAGTCCTTTTATGGGAGAAAGAAGATGTTTATATTTGGACATACTGGAAGATGATTGATATCTACACGATATTCTCCTATAGATAGTTGGAAAAAAAGAGGAGGATTTTTTCTCCATTTTAATGTTTTTAAAAATTAAGTGGTAATTTTTTTAATTTGTCATATTTTTAGCCACTGAAATTACCCTAAATTTGGTTTTACTTATCGTGTTCCATATCCATATTACTGCTTCATTTTCCTTAAATTAATGGTATTGCATAAGGCAAGTGATAAGTAAATGTTAGCCTGACTTCACCTACTTTTGCTTTGGATTAGCTCAGAATTCTTATGTTTGCAATATTATTAGTCTTATTCCTGTTGCCATTTAAAACTGTTATGTATGAAGAAAAAATACAATTATTACCTGAATAATATTTACTTTGCCATATCTCTTCTGTGAATTTTAGGCAATGAACATTTTGACTTCAGTGTTGCTTCTATATGCAAAAGAAGAAGAAGCTTTTTGGCTTCTGGTTGCTGTGTGTGAACGAATGTTGCCTGATTATTTTAATCGTCGAATCATTGGTAAAATAATGCACATACACATTTCACATGCATTAGTCTGTTTTCTGATAAAATGACTGAATGCCACATACTGGGTAATTTATAAAGAATAGAGGTTTGTTTAGCTCACGGTTTAAAGTTGAGAGACCAAGAGCATGGAGTGAGTATCTACTCCGCATCTAGTGAGGACTCTCTTACTGTATCATAATATGGTGGAAGGCACAGCATGGTTAGACGAGCAGACATGCCAGAGACAGCTTACTCTTTTGACAAAGCTACTTTTTGATAACCTATTAATCCACAAGTGGATTGATCCATTCATTCAGACAGAACTCTAGTGACTCAGTCACCTGCAACAGTTCCATCTCCAAATACCATTAATAGATGGAATTTGGGGGTTAAGTTTCTAATATGTGGTATTGGGAGACTCATTTACACCAAGCAGATACATACTTGTCTAAACAATTTCAGCAACTTTTGTTCAGTCAATTAGCAATCAAATAGAATAGATGAATTCGTTTGAAAAATATAAAATTTAAGCAGTATCCAAATGTCTCATTCACTGCTACATTTAAGAAGAGTTTTCTGTATTTACTGTATAACTGGAATGATAGTTTTAGTTTGTTGTTATTTGAAATAAAGTACCTGGTTTGTTTCTTAATTAAATGGAAATTCTTAAGTTTTTAATCACAGTGTTTCTATAATAATAGTGACCTGAAACAACAGAGCTACTGAAGAATTTTAATATTTCTTGATCAGAGGGAGATTGTAATTTATATAAATTGTTTAGATATTTACAAGATTCAAAAGAATCAAGGTCTTACTTTGTTAATTACATGCTGTTTTCTTCAGTCATCAAATATTTATGAATCTGTGACCCCATTTAAAAACTATGGATCATCTCTGCTTTAAAGCTTCATAAGCTTTCAGTATTCTAGATAAGCCACTGATTGTATTATCTTTTGTTGTAGATGATTTGTGTATTTATCTCGAGTTCTACTAGATACTAAACACTTCAAATGAGAGACCATTAATTGTAGTCCCTAGTGCAGCTCTCTGACTATACTAAGGACTCAATAAATAACTTTTCAGATGAATTTGAATTGCATTTCCCCAGTTTTTTTAATGCATGATCTACTAGTAGGTACAGAGTTACAGTAAAGGCATTTGAAGGACTTACCATTTAAGGGAAAAAGACCAGCAAACTAATAAAAGTGAGGAAGTATCAGAAACAAATCTTCTGGAAAGAAGTATCTTTTTTAACTTCTTTTGATATTCTCTAGGTGCCTTGGTGGATCAGGCAGTCTTTGAAGAACTTATCAGGGATCACCTTCCTCAGCTGACCGAACACATGACAGATATGACATTCTTTTCTTCAGTTTCTCTCTCATGGTTCCTCACACTTTTTATTAGTGTGCTGCCTATTGAAAGTGCAGTGAATGTGGTAGACTGTTTCTTCTATGATGGAATAAAGGCTATTTTACAACTCGGATTGGCGATACTTGACTATAATTTAGACAAACTCCTGGCATGTAAAGATGATGCTGAAGCTGTGACAGCTTTAAACAGGTATTGTAAGAACTGTATCACTTAAATTTGGAGGGGATCTGAGAGATTATATGGTTGTATTCCCTTTTTTTTTTGGTACCAGGGATTAAACTTACAACCTCATGCTTGGCACGCAGGTGCTTGTGCCGTTGAGCCAAGCCCCCAGACCCCCTTGTTTTGTCTTTGAGGAAACGTAGCCCTGGCGATGTCAAATAATTTACCCAAAGTCACATAATTTGCCCTAGTTGAATGAAAAGTCCAGGACTGAAATTCAGTCCTTTGTCTTCAAACAGGTTATAACAAATGTAAATCACTTTAAAGTGAGTAATTAGATTACTTACACATTTATGCTATTATTGTTTGTGTATACTGGGACATTCATAGTCCCAATTATTATGTGAAAGTAACTTGAGAGTGAAAGGGCTAGTTAATAATTTTAAATAACCATGGGGAAAATTATCTTAGTTTCCGTGTGGTTTCAATAAGGCAGTTTGAACTTTATTTTCCCAGTGAATTTTGTGTGTTATTTTGTATTGGAGCATAAGCATAGCTGTTTGTGTGTATATATGTGCACACATTTATATATGTTAAATGAATGAATATTTGAATTGACAGCTGTTTTAATTACTGCATCTAATCCCATTCTGTACAGAATAATATGCAAATGCCTTACTCTGGTTTTCACAGCTTTGCAATAAGGCTTCTGTGTACTTTTCTTCAGTATTTCCACTTATGTACCCCTATATACCCTCTTTTACATTCTTAACTAGGCTATGTTGTCTTTGATGAGTACACAGTGAGCCTGTTTGCTTCCTTCATGCTCTTCCCAATCCCAAAATGATTTTGTCCCTATTCCCCCCTCGACGTACTCCTAAACCACAACCATCTTCAAATTCTACTTCTTCATAAACCCTTCCCTTGTCCTCTCAGTTGAAATTAACCTGTTAACTAACTAGGGAGATATTAGGTGCTATTTTCCCTGCTTTAACAATTTTGGTTCCACTAATTCTTGTATTACTGTCACTTTTGGATAGGTTCTTTGACAATGTCACTAATAAGGATAGCCCATTGCCTTCAAGTGTTCAGCAGGGTTCAAATGAGAGTGATGTAAAAAGCAGTCATGTTAGAGTGGATATTACAGATTTGATTAAAGAGTCCAATGAGGTAAGTTCTTTTTATACCATAAATGTAATTACATAGCACATTTAAAAAGATTGGGGGGCGGGGGTATGGCTCAGCGGCATGGCAAGTGTGAGGTCCTGAGTTTGAGTCCCGTTCCAAACTATAAAATAAAAAGATTAGTACTGTAGTTATATCTTTAGTGTTTTATTAACAGTAGTATAATAATGCAAACAAAGATACAATTTAAAATCTATCCTCACTTTAAAAATGAATTCTAAGAACTTGTGCTAGGTTATATAACACCCTATGCCTCAATTTCCTTTGCATTAAATGAAACTAAATTTGCTTACTTTTGTACATGAATACTTCTACACATGTATTGCTATATAAAATGGTGAAAATTATTCTATTCTTAGACATGAATGTTACCAGTGTTCTTCTTCTTGGTTTAGACACATAGTAAATGGAATTCTCTCCAGGAAATATGTATGAAAACTGAAATGTAGGAGGTGAAAATTTACAGTATCTCTGAACAAGTCAGGAAAGTAGCTAGGAATAGAACCAAGCCCCCAGATAACTGAGTCTGATGACATTTGATTTAATTCTAAATGGAAAAGTGGATATTTATTGTGAATAAATACTCACTGAAAACATGTCTTGCAGAAATATGGAAATATTTGCTATGAAGATATACATAGCATGCGCTGTCGAAATAGGTTGTATGTGATACAGACCCTAGAGGAAACAACGAAGCAAAATGTGGTAAGTGTCCATTCAGTGAGACAAAACCAGTTGGAATAAGGTTTTCCCCTTTGATTTCCTTTAATAGTTATTTTTACATGTAAATGAAATGAAAAGGACTAAATATTTGAGATAGATTCTCGCCAAGGTTTAGTTTATTATAGATTTGCTTGAGAAAAAAACAAGTCATTTTCTTCTGGACCAGTTATATGTCTTTCTGCAACATGTTTGCTATTATTTGACCTTAAGCATCACTGTAGTGTAGTGCTAAATGTTATGTAGGCATCTAAGCTTAACATGTTTACAGTATGCTATCAGTAGGAATGGTTGATTTGTATAGTAGCCACTGGTACTAATATTATTTTCTTTGAATACATAAAGTGAATAGTATATAAAAGGGTATAAAACAGTACTCACTGTTTTAATATTTGTCACTCCACAAAAAACTGCTAATATTGGTTTCTTCTGGTCAGTGGAATGAATAGATTACTGGTCAAAGGACGGTGAATTTTACCTTGATGCTTATATTAAGCTTATGTTGTTTTGAAAACCTACTTGCTTAAAGATAAGTTCTTCAGAGATACAAATCCTGAATATTAACATTTCTGAAGGTTCCAGGTTTAGGTGTCAATTAAGTAATTCATTGATGTCATTATGACATAATTGGCATAGAGCCCCCTTGTGGTTTTTTTAATAGATTAGTATTTTTAAATATTTACTGAAGTTATATGTGGTTGTTATAAATAATTTAAGCACAGCAGAAATATAAAAAGTCAAGCCTCTCCACTCCAAAGGGTAACAATCTTAAAATGATTTGATATGTTTCACCTCGTATCTTTTTGTTCTGTATTGGCACACATAGATGTGTATGTTGGTGGGGAGGGGATATAGTTTTATTTTTATTTTGGGTTTTTTTTTTTTGTCTTTTTTGAGACAGGATCTCAGTTCAGGCTGTTATTACTCACTTTGTAGCCCAGGCTGGTCTTAAACTTGCAAGAATCTTCCAGCCTCAGCCTCCCGAGTGCTGGGATTTCAAGCAGGTGTCACCTTGCCCAGCCAAGGGTTATAGTTTTTTAAATGAGTGTATAACAGTCACCATGTTCTACAACTTTTTTCACTGAAAAATTATCCTGGTCATTGAAAATCAGTATATAGAAATCTAACTCTCTGTTTAATAAGCTAAATATCATGCCATAGTACAGTTATTCTATAATTTATTTTATGTTTCCCTGTTGTGCATTTAATATGCCTCCTTCGATGTATTTGCTATTACAGATAATATTTTATGTAAACATCTTTGTGTACATGCAAGATGTCATCAAAAGTGTTTCATTTTTTAAAAATTTATTATTGCAAAAGACACATTGCCATCAACACATTTATCCCATTACTCTTGCTGCTTTCTGATGCAGTTCTGGAAGTACTTTTTTATGTCTTTGCTTATGCTCTCGTAGTTTCCTGAGTGTCCTGTATCAGTCCAACACATTTACCTGATATGGTCATTTTGACTTTGATAGGGGCCAGGAGTCACAGAGTATGGTGCCAGATCCAGTGAATAAGCTGGATGAAGATACTCCATAATGTTTTTACTAGCCTGCTCTCCCGTAGATGACACTTGACAGCAGTATTCACTGTAGTCTTGGTCACACCTCATAAAGACACAAAAGAGGACTTCTCCAAATGCTTCAGAAAGTGGCAAGATCAATGGGATAAGTGTATTTTAAGCAAGAAAGAATGTTTTGAAGGTGTTTAACAATAATATATATTTTATGTCATAATTATTAAAATTTAAACATTCGCCATATATTTAGATCACCCCTCATATAAATTCTTTGTGAGAATATTTCTGTAAGATAGATCCCTGCAAATGGAAGCTATGTAAAAGAGTATGCCTATCTAAAACCTTGAGAGGTCCTACCTAATTATGTTCCAAGATTTACACTAAATTATAATTTTAGCAACAATGTGTAAGAATGCTTTTTTTCTGTGCTTTTAACACCAGACATTAAACATCTTTAATTTGTGCCAATTTGATAGTTTAAAATATCAAATGTTATTTTATGTTACATTCTGCTAGTTACAAATTACTAGACTTTTTCAGTTTTTTTAATTGCCTATTTTTTAGCCTTCACTTATTTTTGAGACTTTTTCTCTTGATTTGTAAGAGCTCTTTGAATATAATTATGTTCCCCATGGGGAGTTAGTACATGTACATAACACATCTTCACTTATTTTTAATCTTCTTCCCCCTTCCTTCCCTCTTTCATCCATCATTTAGTCCCCTTCCCTTAAGCAAAAGATCTATCTCCATACTTCCTATTATCTAACTTTTATTTTGCTCTTTATTTATAATTTCAGTTTCTCATGAGAGGAACCATGTGATTTTTAAGCTTGTGTGTCTAGTTAAGTTCATTTAACATTATGGTCTCAAGCTACATTACTTTTCCTACCAATGACTCAAAAGTTTATCCTTCTTTATGGCAGAATAGTATTCTATGATGTATTTCTTTATCCATTAATCTGTTAGTGAACTTATAGGCCACTTCAATGAATAAGTGTATTGTGCTGCTGTAAACATGGGTATGCATGTATCACTGCAGTGTATTATCTTTAATTCTTTTGGGAAGATACCTAGATGTGGAATAGCTGCTGTCCTTAAGTTACTTTTCTCATTGCTGTGACAAACTATCCACCACCCAAAGTTAAAGGAGAAAAGACTTATTATAGCTCCCAGTTTGTAGAGGTTTCAGTCCATAATCAGCTGGCTCTACGGCAGAGTGGCATGGCTGTCATGACCTGCTTTAGTGTCGTTATCCTGTTCTGTAAGCGTTGTTACCCTGACCTGTGTTTCAATTCTCGTTTCTTATAAATTATCTCTTTCCAGAAAAGCAATTTAGTCCCAGAACCCACTGACCCAGGATTGTAACATTTGCTGACCACTGATTGTAAAACACTCGGATCCAGGACCAACTGGCACTGGTTGTAAAACATTTTTGCAGAAATTAACTCCCCTTTTATATAAGCTCTCTCCCCTTTTCCTCGGCTTTGCTGTCTTTACCTTTTAACCCCCACCCCTAACCTAATCCTGGTTACACAGTTCTGCAGATTCCAATGCAGGCTGGGTTGCAGGGTACCAGCTAAAATAAAATGCTTCTTTTTAAAGACATCTTGCCCCATTTTTGAACATCTTCAGGCCTCATTTTTGGGGTACAACAATAGCAGACGGGCATCTCAGGAGAAACAGTCTATGACAAAGCAGGGTGGGCAGAAGACAGCAAGCAGCACGCTACAAGAGCAGCCCTGTTTCTATCCCTTATATTGTATGCAGGTTACAGGCTCTTAGGGCAGTAGCATTCACACCCAGGGTGGGCCTCCCCATTACCTACACTCAGAACTGTGCCAAACCATCAGTAGATTAATTTAGTAATCATACATACTTAATCCCAGCATCACACACTCTAGATCCAGCCACTTCTGAAAAGCCATGCCTATGAGTGTATGAGAGCACATCTAGACACAAGTCATGACAACTAGATCAAATGGAATTTCTGTTTTTAGGTTTTTGGAAAATCTCCATGCTGATTTCCAAGTGTTTATACTATTTTACATTCCCAGAAACAATGCAGAATGATGTCTGCCTCACTCCCATCCCCACAGCCTCTCCAGCTTTTGTTATTTGATTTCTTAATGATTGTCATTCCGTCTAGAGTGAGATGGTATCTCAGTGTTGTTTTAATTTGTGTTCCCTTAATGGCCAGAGATGTTGAATACTTTTCATCTAGTTATTGACTTATTTGTATTTCTTCCGGATATTGTTTCTTCATTTCAGTTGCCCATTTTCTGATTGAATCTTTTGTTTGGGAAAAATTGATTTGTATTTTAGTTCTTCATGTAGTCTAGCTGCTACCTTTGAGTGGGAGTGAGGTCTTTTTGTTTCCATCTGTTCATACTTTCTTGCTTTTCTGAATTAATTTTCACCATATTTTCTTAGGGAATCATTTTGTGTAGGTTTTCAGATAAATTGGTAAAACTTGGCTTACAGAATTTATACCTTCTGTATGCTGCATGCCTTTAATGACCTCTACATCCATTTTATCCATATCAGTGTTTGTGATTTATTGTATTTGCCTGAGATTTGTCCATCTTTTCAGTTTATCTTATTTAACTGAGTATTCTGTATGTTTTAATGTCCTATTTTCGTACTTGCTTTTATCTTTACCCTTGATTTTAGATTTCTTAAATGGTATAATACTTTTACCATCAGTGCTTATTCTTCATGAAGTAGGATAAAATTACATATTTTCTAAGCTTATTATTTTGGAGGATGGAGGCACATACATACCTGATGCCTTTGAAATGTTTGATGACAGCTCCCTTTATGACTTAACAAATTGCTTATGTGGTAAGCAAGGCATATATAGAATGAGACTTAGAACTCTGTTGCTTGTAATTGTAAACATTGCTGTTCTTTGGCAATGATTACTAGGTATGAACAGATGATTGTCAAAGTAATTATCAGACTAAACTTGAACCATATTCTATGTATAGCTTTTTAGAAATATAAAGTAGCTGTTTTATGTTTATTATTTTTCATGAAATCAAAAGAAAAATATTTCCTTCTAGCAGAGGGAGACTTTTGAGTGGTTTCATTTCTGTGCTGGAATGTTAATTCTAAATTGTTTTAAATCTTTTTTCAGCTGCGTGTTGTATCCCAAGATGTGAAATTGAACCTTCATGAATTAGATGAACTTTATGTGATCTTTAAGGTACACTTATCCTTTTTAAATGAAAAATAATGTGCTTTTAGCAGAATTTTATCACAAGTACACTTATTTATTTTTTGCCAGATATGTTTAAAAGAAAATCTTCTTTGATCACTTTTTCTGATTTAATAACTTTTCCTTTTTATTTGTTTTTAATAGAAAGAGCTGTTTTTATCTTGTTATTGGTGTTTGAGTTGTCCAGTGTTAAAGCATCATGACCCCAGCCTGCCATATTTGGAACAGTATCAGATTGACTGCCAGCAGTTCAGAGTGTTGTATCACTTGTTGAGTCCCTGGGCTCATTCCGCAAACAAAGACTCACTAGCTTTATGGACATTCAGATTGTTGGATGAAAATTCTGATTGCCTTGTAAACTTCAAAGAATTTTCTTCTGCAATTGGTAGGCCAATATCGTATAACTTTTGAAGCAAAAGAAGTATCCCTAAAAGTATTTAGTACTAATATCAGTTTAGTCAGATTACATTGTCTCCAGCTTTAGCAATTACAAGGGGGTTTTTTTCCTGTTCGTTACTAAATCTAAGCATATTGATTTAATTTTGCCCCAACCCTCTCAGAAAATTAAACTGTTACATGTGGGTGTTCTACTGGTTAACATGAAGGAAGAAAATGTCCTGGCTTTCCTACGTTTAAGTACATGGATGCTACAGACGGACTTTCCTCTTAAGTAAAAATCCAACCACATAGCCTAGAAAAGTACTTAGTAAACATGTTGTACCATTAGGTACTCAATGAACCAGCTATGGTGGCTCATGCCTGTAATCTCAGCACTCAAGAGACTGTGAGTTTGATAGTTCAAGACCATCCTTAACTACCTGGAAAGATCCTGTCTCAGAAAAAAAAAAAAAAACATTCAATAGGCAATATGTTGTACCTGTAAATGTTCCTTTGCTTTCCAGACTCCCCAGTAATGCTTTCTTATCACGGACTGGCCCTTAAAGAACAGTTCTTCCCTCGAATGAGATGTAAGACCTCATTCAAAAGCAAAAAGAAATCTGAAGCGTAGGGGAAAGGAACTAGGTAGTCACTGGAGCATTTTATTACTTACATAGATCACTGTGCTTGTACACTTAAAGGGAGAGAATCTGGCTGGTGGGTAGTTTAACTGTTAGCTTAAGTAACAGGTTTCTGAATTGTAATTCCTGGTTAGTATCTGTATATTAATCTGTGTTGCTGAAATTGATTGAATTTGGATACATGATTATTTTCAACTGAATTTTATTGAACAGACATAATGTACAATGGAAGTTTTACTGAGAAGCTTAAACTGCTTTTTAAGATGCATATTCCTCCAGGTAAGTGTTTAACACTCTTTAATGATATATACAGGAGTTGATTTCATTTTAACAAGTATAATTATAGATCTACTTCAATTTTATCAAATAAGCTAATTATCAGTATAAGATCATTGTTTCAGTATGGTTGGGCACTCCATATGATAGTTATTTGCTTATATGTAGTGATCTGGTGAAATCAATAGAAGAGATTCTGTGTAATCGAGGGGTCTACAAGCTGTTAGTGGTCAGTCGTTTTATTGATAGTTTGTGTACAGGAAAGACATATTTGAATTTGATATAATGTTGAATTCTTGTGGTCACTATAGCGATCAAACTACAGATTAACTTTAGCTAAACAGCCAAACTTGTAAAATACTTCATCATTCAGAAAAATGAGGGGCTGGGGATTTAGCTCAGCAGCATAAGCGCCTGCCTTGCAAGCAGGCAGTCGTGAGTTCGATCCCTGGTACCAATAAAAAGCAAAAAGACAAAAAAAAAAAAAAAAGAAAAGAAAAGAAAAATGAGCCTAGGAAGGGCTGGTGATGTAGATCCAGGGTAGAGCACCTTGTCTAGTAATGAGCAAGGCCCTGGATTCTGTACCTAGCACTATAAAGCAAAGGAAAGAAAATGAAAGCAGGAAAAAATGGGAATATTAAATATTTAGGAAAGGAAACAAACTAAAAGCTACCATTAGTTGAGCATTTGTTCATCAAGACATATACTTTACTTGCATTCTTTTAAGCCTTACTGTATCCTTGAAGGGTGATATTATCCTTTCAGTTTTAACAAAGAAACTAGGGGATCAGAAAGACTTGCTGAAAATCACATAGCTCATAGTTTTGCCTACCTGGGTTTCAAACTGAAGTTTTATCTTACTCTGAGTTTCATTTTTCTTTCTATGCTACCATACTGCCTCAGAGTTCTCATACTATTTAAGTTTATGTACATTTTATTCCGTTGACCAAAAAAGAGCTGCCATTCCCAGACATCCCTACTTTGAGAAAATAGTCTTAGGCTTTAAAATGAAAGAATATTATAAAATGTAGCTTAATTGAAGTTATTCATAAAAACAAACAGTACCTCGTAACTGTCTAAAACTATACCTGAGATCCCTTTTAAAATCTTTTTAGGTTAGCCAGAAAACATAGCTTACCAGACCAACAGACATCTTTATCCCTTCACACACTCAAATCACAGACAATATATTAAAAATAAAATGCCTAATACTTTAATTATAAAAGGTGTTTACATTATCAGATTAGGTTGCCATTATAATGTTCACTGAGTACACTGTAGAGGGATCAAAAATAGGAAAAACATTATATACTTGTTAGTTCACGGGTCAGAAGTAAAACAAAGCATTCACTTCATGTTCTCCAAGTTTTTTAAATGGCTGTGGTTGTATGTTCAGATTTCCAAATGCTAGATTTTCTTATTACAACTTGTACTGGCTCTCAGAAGACTACTAAAAAAGCAAATGGGAGAAATACTAGAAATGAAGGTGACTCAGTACTTCTTGTTATTTGCTATACAGTATAGCAATATCCGTTTTATATTTCTTCACTTACTTTCATGTGTTTGTTTGTTTTGAACTGAGAATCAAACTCAGAATCTCATGCTTGCCCTTCATTTATATTTTTGTTCCAAAACCTTTTTTTTTAATTCTTACTCCCAAACTTACCTCACCATTATGGACCCCATGTCTTTCCTTGATTGTTAGTAAGTGTGATTTGGATTATATATTTTCAGCTTATACTGAAGTGAAATCTGAGGACTCTTCAAAAGGAGATGAACTTTCCACAGAAGAATTACTTTATTTCAGTCAGCTCCATGGTAAATAGTTGTTGACTTCTTTTGAGACAGGATTTTGCTAAATTTTTCAAGCTGGTCTCAAATTTAGTCTTTCGTGATCGTTCTATATCATCAACTTCCCAAAGATCTGGAACTATAGATGCACACCACTGTGTCTAGCTAGTTTAACTGCCTTGATTGTCAGTTACCTACAGATATCTTCCTGGTTTAGGTGTGCTTTACCCAGCTACCACTCGTAAATTTGGGGATCTTACAGCTTTTGCTTCTTTTATACTACCATAACACTTAGCATAATTCATAAATATTTGACTAATTACCAAATTATTACTGATTAAAGACTTGGATTTATGAAATTTTTTATTTATTGGACAATTACAAAGTAATCATATTTTGTTTCTAAATATGTTAAAGAAACTTCTAAACTGTATCAGACCATTTTTTATGCCTTGCTAAAGTACAGTGAAGACAATAGAATATTTGGTGATTAAATATCATAGCTCTTATTCAAACAGGTACTTACTATAAGACACCAAAGGTGTAACATACAGGAATGACCCTGTCTTCTAGACATTGTTTGGAAGTAATACGAGCTTATCTGTGTGTCCTTTGTTTTATTTTCATAAATATACAGTTTCTTAACAGAGTGAGTTTCAATTAATGTATGTTTGTGGTTTTGATATACTAAAGTACTTTTTGGCTTTTTTGTTGTTGTTGTTGTTTATCTTTAGCTTTTTTCTTTTCTGTTTTTTTGAGATAGTTTAGGCTGGCCTTGAACTTACTACATAGTTCAGGCTGGGTTCAAACTCATGGCAATCCTCCTGCCTCAACCTCCCAAGTTCTGGAACTACAGGCATGTATTACCATGCCTGACAATTAGAAGTGTTTGAACATTGAATTAAAGAGACCTTGCAAACATCTAGTCAAATCCCTTCACTTTATAGATGATGGCACTGAGGCCCACAGAGAAGGGGTATATACAAGGTTTCACACTGAGTTATTGGCACACAATTATAACTTATTCTTCTGACTTCTTGTGTGTATATATTTTTTAAATATTTCCTGCTGGTTAAAGAAATACATGTTAATTTTAAGAAAGTCAAAAAAGAAGGAAATACCACTGAGAGATAAATACTTAACATTTAGTTTGCTTTCTTCTAGAATTTTTTAAAAATATGACACAGTGTTTATTTTACTGTGAAATACTTCAGTGTTTACTTCAGTGTTTATTTTACTGTGAAAATTCTTTAATATATTGCCTTACAATGACAGGGAGTCAGGTTGGATAAAATTGGCTTAGTGAATCAAAATAACGTATACTTTTATGTCATATGAAACATTATTTTTACTTTTAAAAATATTTGTTAAATATTTTATAATACGCAATTGACCTCTTTCCTCCTAGTTTCCAAGGCTACAAATGAGAAAGAATCAAAATCAGGAACAAACAGCCCTGAAAAAGGTACTATGATCTAGGAATATAATTTCTTTGTTAAATTATTGCTTATATAAATAGGGATAATTACAAAGGGGGGAAAGTGGATTGATTCCTTTTAAAGACTATATATTGATCCTGAGAAAATTTTCAATTTCTTTGCTTTATTTTATCAACTTATTTTTCTTCTTGTGATACTTCTCAGAAGTTATAGAAAATATAATAGTAAGTAACCTATATTAATTTACTACAATTATTTTAGAAGTATTTATTTTTTAATCACAAAAATAGTAGATAATACTAACAAATTGAGACAGTAGATAGTTCTCATATTCCCACCAACCCACTCAGAATTAAAGACTGAAAGCATTTTTTACTATATCCAGACCTGTTTCTGTATATGCACAAACATACCTAGACAACTCTCTTTAAAACAATACTTCATAAATACTGCTCTATAATTTGCTAAGTTTTGATTTTGTAATGTAGCATGGAAAATTTTTCACATCCATATATTTGAATCTAACTTGTGATTTTTAATAAGTACAAAATATTTCATTATTTGTTTTGATCATAACATTCAATAACTAGCACAATACTGATGGACATTTAGATGGTTTCCAGGTATTTTATTTCAACCTATATTTCAATAAATATTTTTTGCTTAAAAATTTTAGGATTATTTTAGAAGCATTTCTTTGGGATAGGGATAGGATGAATTCATAGAAGCATAAAATACTGGGTTAGGCGCAGCTGAGCATGGTGGTACACACCTGTAATCTCAGCACTTGGGAAACTGAGACAGGAGGATCATTATGAGGTCAAGACCAGCCTGGGCTACAAAATGAGTTCAAGGTAGCCTGAACTGCATAGGGAAACTTTGTCTCAAATAGACCAAAAAAAACTGGACTGGGTAGTATTAACTTTTAATGTTTTGACAAAGACTGTCAAATCATTCTCCAAAAGTTCATCATTCTTTATATTTTTGAATAACAGTTAAAAATAATTTATTGCTTAAGATCTATTTAAACATAACAACTTTACCAGTATTTTCCCCTAGGTTTTGAAGACTCTTAAATAATTATTTAAAAGTTACCGTAACATCTTCTTGACCAAACTCTTTAAAGAAAAGATTAGTGTTTTCAGTTTTTGAGAAACAACCATCATAGACCACTTTGTTATCTGTATAAGAATATAATATAGGATCTGCTTTAAATTTAGTAGTATATATGAAGATGACTACATGAAATTTGCATTGCCAGGTGAAAGTGTACTGTTTTAATCTATATACATCTTTTTTCCCTCTCCATGTTTCCCATGGTCCCTAACTTCTCAAAGTTAGGTTTTAGTCTAAATAGAAATAAAGTATTCCTGAGAGCCAGTGAGTGAGATAAAAGGTAAATTCAGATCACTTCCTAGTTCAAAAGAGATGAAGTTTCATATCTCAGTGAAATATCTTTCAGTCATAATTATTATACTTGCGATTTGGGGAAATATAGAGGCCTATTCACTATGAAACTGTTTTGCTCCCTCATTTAGGCAAAGGAAAAATCGATATTCAAGCATACCTAACTCAGTGGCAAGATGAGCTCCTCAAAAAAGAAGAAAATATTAAAAATTTGCCAAGAATGAATCAGGTATAGTATTTTCAAAGAAAAAAGTCTAAGTTTTTGCATTTTTATGTGCATATGAGTATAACCAACTCTAAAATACAATTTTAAAAATATTAAAAACCTGTGTGTTCTCTTTGTAAGTTTCAAGGAAGGATGGAAGAGAAAAAAAAATTTTAATGAGCTTTTTTTAAACTTTAAACACTTACGTGCATCTATAAAAATGTGTATAGAACATTTTCAGAATTGTTGGAAATGTTCTTTTATCTAGGAAGCATTTTCAATGCCTACTAGATATCAAGGACATTGCTAGTTACTGAGCATAAGATATTGCTAAAATAAATCACACATTGGTTCCTGATGGTCTTTAGAACCTGTACTTGCAATACTAATATCTCCTGATACAGTCTTAAAAGTCATTTTTTCTTATACGCTGTTCCACCAGAATGTTCTTATATTTTTAAAATTAAAAACTGATTGATGTAGGCACCGAGAATACCCAGAGCTTTATCAAAATGAGAAGTTTCAAATAACTTAGTATTTCCCAATGGACTACGTAACTTAGCAGTTAAGTTCATTTTAAAGTGAGTAAATATGAGATATTTGTTCTGAAATTGTTATAAATGAACAGTACTATAAACTAAGGAAGAAGGAAAATAAGCGTTTGTTATCATGTATGCTTGAAGGATATCCTTTATATTTGCTCTCTGTTTAGATAAACTTTTCTTATTGGATGATTGACTAATGTGACTCGTGTTGAAATTCCTTTTTTAAATTGAAAACTAGTTACTAGGACTATCTTTGGATTATTTAGGGGTAACTGAGAGACCAACTAGTTTCCCTCCACTTTTGGCCCCACTCAGTCTTTCAAGAGAAGCATGCCCACATGGGTTTCTTAGAGCTCTCTTATACTACTAGATAAGTCACACAAGTCTTTATTCCCTAAATTTATCATCTTAACTAAGCAACCTACCTTAGCCTTTTGAAGAAATCAAATGGGACTTCATCTTAATCCTTTTGTTAAAATGAATTAAAAGTAAGACACGCTGTGCACATGTACCAACTCCCCACAAAGAATTTAATCATTGTAAACTAAAAATGTACCAATTAAAAAAAAGTGCCACCTAACACTGAAATAATATGCCCAACTATCCAGGAACTAGTGTGTATATATAATGTACTATAGGCAATAATCAAGAGGGCTTAAATGAAATGCTTTTCCATGATCCATAGAACAAAGATTTATTTTGAGATTGTCAGTTCTTGGATGAAGGTTATACCCTATAAATTCTATAAAGGAGCATGCCCACTTTCAAGTTCTATCCATATTTGTCAAATGTAATATTAAAATGTTATATTTCTAATTTGTGTCTTCTAGTCACAATTTATTCAGTTTTCAAAGACCCTCTATAATTTATTTCATGAGGACCCTGAAGAAGAAGCATTATATCAAGCCATTGCCGTTGTAACCAACCTTCTGCTCAGGATGGAAGAAGTTGGAAGGAAACTACATAGCCCTCAATCATCAGCCAAAGCAGTCTCTGGTACAGTATGTGCTTCTGAAGAACCCAGTGAAAGGAAAACAAAGAGCAACTTGGAGAAAGATCCTTCTTCCTCTCTCAGGGAGGAACCTCAGTGGTCATTTGCATTTGAACAGATTCTTGCATCTCTGTTGAACGAGCCAGCCTTGGTGAGGTTTTTTGAGAAACCTGTAGATTTAAAAACCAAGCTGGAAAATGCAAAAACTTCTCAGTTAAGATCTAGAACCAAGATTTAATTTGACTCAGTTAAGATCTAGGACCAATGTTGTAAATTTCTTAACAGGAATTGATATCAAAGACAAGTTTACTGAAATTTCTGTAGCATCAGCTTGATTCCTGGGAGTAGGGCTCAGGGATTTATCTTCTTAACAATGTGCCTAAAGAAAGAAGGAATAAGATATTTAGAAGCACAATTATTCATTTATGATGATCTCAAATTTTGATAGTCCTAATTACAGTCAATCCTTGGATTGTGAGTATCTTGGTCTTCAAGTAAGTGTTCTGCAAGCCAAGTGGACAGTGCTAAGACATTTTAACTTGATAAATGAGAAATGTCTTGCAGTATAAGTAATACATCATGCTGAATATCACCTGATTCCAACTGGTTCTATCTCTCATTGCTTTGATATACAAGTGCTTTGGATTACAAGTGGAATGAATTATTCTCCCAAACCAAGGTTTTACTGCACTCTGTTTTTCAGAAAATATGCAGTAGCTAGGGAGGAAAGGGAAGATATTCTGTAGAACCACCAGAGGGCACCACTATACCATTTTTAGTAAGCAAATTACTAGCTTTGCTATTTTCACTAATAATTTTGAAAAGGTGGTGTTAGTTTATTAGTGATGCTGATATGTCATAGCGGTAAACCTTATTTTGCAAATTGCCTCAGTCTTACTAGAATACCCTAGAAATCTAATCTATTAGATCTATACCCTTATCTAGATTACCATTCAGGCCTCTCATTTTCTATTAACTGAAATATTATTAACATTTTAAATTTAATTTCAGTCAATCTAGTAATAGATGAATGATCAATAATTTCTGCATTCTCTACTTGAAGAGTTTAGAAGCTGCCAATTCATGCTGCTATCTCTTTTACTGTTCAGAATAAATCAAAGTCTCTTAAACCCAATAGACTGATAGAAAGGGAAAAAATACTAGACTTTAATTTAAACTGAATAAAGCCAGCCTTTTGGAAGGAGGTAAGAAACAGTTCAGCTCATTTTGAACATCTTGAGGGTTTAGAGGATCAAAAGATCTTTCTAAGCATTTTAAAAAATAAGTCATATAACAAAGGTAGCTGTGAACACCCAATTGTGTTCTCTATACAACCAGTCTAAGGTTCTGGAAAGTCCATTCACTGTGTAATTGGTTTCAGGAAGGGATTTGATAAAATAAATTCCTTCAAGGGTTAATAAAGCTAATGTGTAATTGTATAAAGAAAGAAAGAAAAGTTCAGTTACTACAAATTCTTTGGAGCACTACTGTTTGTTCTGTTTGTCACAGTATATTGCTCTTTGTCTCAGTAGTTTTAGATTTTGGATTTTCTCAGTCATATTTTACTTTATATTACATAGTAAACATAAATAGTTGCATTTAAACTGAATTATTATATTAGTCTGGCAGGCATATAAAGTATACTTTCACATGATGCTTGCTGATGTAATGTGTAGAATTACCAGCATCAATCTAAAAAGATTTTGACTATCTGGTTTAGATATGTAATTTTATGTACTTTATGCTGCTTATATTCCAGTTGCACTATGACAGTCTATTTGGAGACATAATGGACTTTGTTGTCACTTTTTAAAAAATGAAACAAGCAAACTACACTTGTCTACTCCTCTGTTTCTGACAAGAGCAATTTAACAATTAAATTAGAAAATGTAGTAATATCATCCATTGAAATTTCTTTCTTCACAGAAAACTTTGGTCTTAAGTCCTTTGGCTTTTCTAGATGTGAAACAGTGAAAGGGCAGACCTCCTTTTGAGTGATCCAAGGGACCATCTTTTCTGAGCAGGAGTTGGTACAGTGAGCCTTAGGCAAGAATCTTCTGTGAACAAAACCTAACACAGAGATGCTTGTCACCATAAAATATGTTACCTTCAGAGAAGTTAAAGAATTTTCAAGTTAAGCTTTTGAAAATGCATAAATAGGTTTTGGTGAAACCCTTTACTAGTAAGTCTTTAAGATAATTTGATCACTTTTTCTTTTCAAGGAAATTACCACCTAAAAGAGATAATTGGTAAGTAGCCATACCTTTAGTTCGAAGTGATTTGTTGAAATACATAGAGATTTTAAAGACTTAGTTAATAGTTTGTATTAAAGCTATCACACATTTGCTATTATGTAGCAATTATTAAACTATGCTACAATAATAGCTCTAGAAAGACAAAGTCAAATGCACAAAGACATTATTGTATACACTGTGGAATATTTTGTCAGTTGGATTTACAAAGAATACTTTTTAAGAGCATGTATCATTAATATATGACATTATTTTAAAGTCAAAATGGTGATTGAGTATTGTATTTTAACCTACATTGATAAAATTGGATAAAGAGATTTTTCAATTGCAAAAAAATTATAAAAGCAAATTTAAAAAAAGATTTATTTTCTGAGTCTGCAGGAGAAACAAGCTGAATATATAGTTTTATAGCTGCTACCTTGTTAAGCAAAGGAATTGTTCTGTATTTTAAAAATCATATGTAGTTGTGTTATACTGAACCAGTGCAATATGCCTTATATGTTAAATGTAATAAAGTGGTTTTACTTCTCTTTCTAAGAATAAATATCACAAATCTCTTAAAACATGAAAGTGATTTGCTTAAAGAGATTAATATTTTATTTGTTGTGATATGTTTTTATTTATACTTAGATATCATTTGAGGGCTTTCCTTCTGTTTCAGATAGGGTTCAGTTGCAGAGAACAAAATTTATACTTAATTAGGGAGGAAAGGATTTATACTGGGTACTGAATACATAATTATCAGAACTGTTTGAATTGAGCTTTTAAGCACACATCCCAAAGGCACACCTCTACCAGGTCACAGTTGCTAACTCTTCTGAGATGAGAAAACTGCTACTTCTTTCAGTGAGAAGGAAAAGCCATCACTACTACTGCTACCTCTGAAACCATGCTCACCTACTGTGATTTCCACCAGCAAAATAGAGTCCCTATCCCCTGCCTCTCAGTACTCACAAGATTGTAATTACATAACAGTAGGAAAACCAGATAACTTCACAACTGTGTTTACTAGAAGTGACAGAAACATAGGTTCCACTTTGCTTCTGCCTCTCTAATCTCATAAGTATGCATCTCATTGGCCTAGAGCCCTGCGGGCCACAGTGGGTATGCCGAGTCCTCTTCATCAGCATACAAACCAAGTCACTGCAGCGAAATGAGCATGCACACAACAGCAAATATATTAATTGTGTAAAAGCCCACCAAATACAAACTTTTACTTTTCAATAAAAAGTTACTTGTATCATTGAAAGCTCTGTTGCTGGTTTTTCTTTTAAGACAAAAGATGTTAATGCATGAGTTCTTGTTTCTAAACTAAAAACTTCAGTATTTAGGTTATATTGCAATTTTGGCACTTTGTGATAATTAAGTGTGGGTTTGGGGTTGCACTTTGGGTACTCAGTCTCTAAAATATTTACCATCACATGCCTAGAGTTCAGAATCATAGTCACAAAGAAATTTGGGAAATACTGTTTGTTTTTTTTTTTTAGCTCCCGTGGTGTAAGAAAGCATAGGAAGGAGGTATAATAGACACTGACCTCTGTATGTGGGCTTTTTATTGCTAATTCTATAAAGAATTAGCTTTGTTTTGTTTTGGTTTTTTTCTCTTTTTCCTTTTAAATAAAATTTTAAAAAAAGAATTAGCACAATACATATTACCTTACCATTTCAGTGTGTCGAGACCTATGGGTTCAGCTTAGCTAGGTCCATTGGTTAGAATTTCACAAGGCTACAACCAAATGTCTACCAGGCTGGTTCTCATGTAGAGACTCAACTGGGGAAAAGTTCTATTCCAGTTTCATGCAAGAAAAATTCATTTCCTTGTGATTATGGGTGTAGAAATGTAAGCTTCTTTCTAGTAGTTGATGAGATACTGTTGTCACCTGAAAGCATCCCTTGGTTCTTACCAGCAGCCCTCAGCTTCTGTAGACTTTCCACAGTTCTTTGCCTTAAGGCCTTCTCCAAAATGACCACTTCCTCAAGCCAACAAGGAGAATCTAGAGTATCCTGGCACTAAGAGTGTCTTATGTAAAGTAACAAAATCATAGTAATGGCATCTCGTTTCCTTGCCAAATTCTGTTTTTAAAAAAAGCAAGTAATGGGTCCTGTCCACACTAAAAAGATAATTACAGAAAGTTGTGAACATCAGGAAAAAGAGAGGCTGGGAGGTGGTATTCTCTAGAATGTTAGAGTCCATCCACCACAAATACCAGTCTGTGTCATTATGCATGTCATTCAGCACTTTCTCCATGCAATGCACCCTTCTTTTCTAAATAACAGGTAATAGCAACGTTGACTTGCTCCCACTTGTTGTAACACAAATCTGTCTCATACAAACAAAGGTACACTAATATCTTCTAAGAGAATATCCAAGTTTCTTTTCAGTAATGTGAATCTATACACAGCTGATGTTCACTCCTCCCAATTTAATCCCAATCCCATCTTGATGTTTTATAATGTTTGCATTAAGTTTTAAAGTTAATTATCATCATCTAACCTTATATAAAATAGTACAGGATACATGGGGAAGTAAGTTGATTCTTATATATAAATATATTATCTAAAAGAAATGGAGAAAAACTTAAAGGCTATTGTAATCCCCGTTTTCTACTGCGACGGTAAGCAGAAACACTGCCAAAATGTTGATGAGCACTAATCAGGATCATTCTCAGAATATCAGGCCCTGATCTCTCGTGGTCTTGGTCTTATATGGCATAAGCAAGCAGGAAATACAGAGGCAGAATGACTAGTCAGTTGGGGATTGGTTCTTATCATATGCATCATAGTGACCAGCTATGCATCACAGTGACCAACTGTTTCTAAGAGACAGAAGCAGCCACAGTTGGAACAAAAGCTGTTACCTGAATAACTAAGAAGACTATACTAGCTTGGGGTGGAGGATGCATTTTCTGGTACATCAGAGCAGGTCATGATACTGTAAGTATGGAACTTTTTCCTAAGCATACTATAGTTTTAGTTTAAGCACAAGTATACTTATCACCATCACAATTAGAATAATTCATTGCTCTAGAACTCAATCCCTTTGTATACTCTCTCCCTGACCCTAACCAACCAGTGATGAGTGGAGTTTTTTGTCCATCTTTAAACAAAAAGAAAAAGAACATGCTCACTTTCCTACCAACAGCCACGTGATAAAGAAATAGTTAATCCGAGACTTCCGGGAGAACATGGCGGACAGATAACAGCAACTACCGGAGGCTCTCTGAAAGGCTCGGCTCAGAAGTCAGGAATGATGCGGACTAAGGAGACATGAGCCGGTAGAGATATGCTCTGCTGACTCAGTAACGAACTGGGCTGAGAGAAACCAACTTGGAATGCAGTCCTGGCGCTAAAATAGGAACAGAAAAGACTCGGTGTGGAGGCTGGACCCCGTGCCATTGGAAACAGTGATTTGGGTTTCCCGCCACTCGGCGGCTGGCTGCCTCCACAGCGGCTCAGCAAGGAGAGACGCACAGAAGCTCTGGGAACGGGAGTCTGCGAATGGAGTCGAAAACAGGACGGACAAAGAGGCGTACACTGACTTGTGGCGAGGTGAGTGAGAGAAACTGACACTCTACCACAGTTTGACTCCAGCGGAGGACTTTCTGGGCTCGGGCAGTCCTGTAAGAGCAGGGCGCGGTGGCGACTCCAGCCACACATTCCCCTCTCGGACGGGATTGGTGAAAAGTGCCTGGCCTGCGTGACGCTGCGGGCGGACTTGGTAGGCTGGCCTAACCCAGATCCCAGAGCCTGACGGTGGCCCGGAGGGGCGACTGACTCCCGCGTAGGCTGCCTAGTCCGTAACTCCCTGGTGCGCAGCAGTGGGCGGGAACACCTAGCCAGCACAATTTGATCAGGCTGTGGCTGACAGGCAGGGAAGCTGGGTCTCCTATGTAAACTTGCATATATATAAGGAACAGAGAATATGGGGAAGGGAAGCAACAAGAAAGGCTCCTCGGCCCCCAATTCTGAGAAACAGGCAATAGCGGACACCGCACCAATAGACATTAAGCGCCATATAGAGAGCCTCATAGACCAATTCAGGAATGAAGTTATCAACGACCTGAAGCTAGAAGTATGCAGAATAGTTAGAGAAATGCTAAGCACCACCCAGGAAAAAACAGATGGTGGAATGGAAGAACAGAAAAAGAGGGGAGAATTGTTTGGTGAAGAAAACAGAGAAAGCATAGAGTACGTGAAGCAGGTTCAAAGGGACTATCAAGAAATTAAGAAGTCTATCCAAGACCGGCATAACAGCTTGAAAGAAACTAAGGACAGACTATCTGAACTGGAGGGCAGACTCGTAATATGGAAGAATGAAATGAAAAACTTCTTAAAAATAACAAAGAAACAAATAGCAATAATACAAAGACAAGAAGATAATAGGAGGAGCCATAACTTAAGGATTAAGAACATAAAAGAAGAAGTAGGGACACAAACAAGTGAACTACAAAAGCTACTCACAGAAATAATCCAGGAGAAATTTCCTAATTTAGCAAAAGGTAAAGATACTCAGATGTATGAGGCATACAGGACCCCAGCTACCTACAACCCTAACAGAGAAACACCCAGGCATATAATAATAAAAATTCCAGAAATTCAATACAAGAACAGAATATTAAAAGCTGTAAGAGACAAGAAACAGACCACTTACAAGGGAACACCCATCAGAATTACAGCAGATTTCTCTGCACAAACCATCAAATCACGAAAAGCATGGGGGGAAATAATTCAAGCTTTGAAAGATAATAATCTCCAGCCAAGATTGAGATATCCTGCACAACTGTCCCTGGAAATTGATGGAAAAACAAGGTGCTTCCAGGATAAAGAGGAACTGGGGGAATTTGCAACCACCAATTCAACCCTACAGAAAGTATTGCAGGATATTCTAAAAAAAGAAAAATACAAAGAACCCAGAAATAGTGGCGGGGAGGCCACAACGAATGGAGCAGAGAACAAAATGAAGAAGACAAACTGACAGCTACTGACAGAAAAAGAGCTCAACAGAAATGAGACAGAGAAGATTGGATGATAGGAACAGCTATTTTGGAGAAAATGACATCTTAATAGGTAATACTGATTTAGTATCATCTTGTTTTGAAGTCTCATCTAGCTTTTGTTCTTCTGTCTCCAATGGTCTAAACAGGTTGTATCTTATTGGATTTTATTATGTACGATAGTATAAGCAAAAACCTTTTAAAGACAAGGAGATTATACAGAGACCATTGTTCATTTTCTGTTAGTCGATTCTAAATACTCTGTAATGCTGTCATTCTCTTAGATGGTTTTACATTGTTTTGATATACTTAATGCTACAGTATACGAAGTTGTACTCAAGGATTTCAAGGAAAGAGACAATACGGTAACTACTTTTGGGTTGGAATTATCTGGTGGTGAAACACTATTCTGTTTAAATGGTTATGTTTTGATCTGCGCTGTTTCGCTGTTATGCCCTCTTTTTTCTCAATCTCCACTCCATTATTTACTTTTTTATTTTTATCCGTTTAATTAAAGGGAAAAAATAGCAGGATATAATATAGTAACCCACTTTGACTTTCTATTATCTCGATTTGAAGCCCTGTATTACTCTCACCATCTTGTTTTTGACTGATGTTCCCCTATTCTGTTTTGATGGATAGTATCAGGTTTGAAAGTTTAGGCATCAGCTGTGAAGATAATGAGATTCATTATAACGCCCATTCTCGTTGACTTTTATCTACTTTTGAAGACCTACAATGTCTCCAATGTTTTGGTTTTGTCGGTTTTGTTCTTTACTGTTTTGTTCAATTGTATTATAACTAATGATATAGGCAGTTCTATTAGAGATAGTGGGAGGCATTATGGTAACCATTGTTGATCACCTTGTATTACGTTTTTATATTATCTATTATGTCCACCCTTTTGACTTGACCGATTCTGTTCTGTTATGTCTCATTTGGTTTTACTCTCTTCCAAAAAAGCAATAAGAACCGTGGGAGCAATGAAACCCAAAACGTGTAATAGTCATTGTACAAAAGAGAGGAAAAGAAAGTGCTCTAAACTATATAACTGCATGTATATTTAAGTGTATAAGATAGAAAATGATATCATAGAGTTTTATTGGATCATTGAACAGAACTGTTTGCAGTATCATTGTTGGAATGTCCCACTCTACAAGCTTTAATTTTGTGACTTGAACAATTATTTCTAAGATGGCAATATGTAATCCATTAACTAATGATTTCCTACTGTTCATTTTTTTCTTCTGCAAAT